GAGGTGCTACGTTCCTACTCGCCCTTCTTGAGCTTGCCACTGGCACCGCTCTTGACGCGCTTGGCAACAGGGCGGTTGATGTGGTGGTCGGGGATCCAGCTCTCGTCGTAGCTCTTGCCAGTCGAGGAGGCAACACCAGTGGTGTCAGCCTCAGCCAGAGGCACGGTGACACTAACAGTGCGCGCCTTCTTGGAAGACTTGGCCTTCTTAGCCTGGGGGAAGAGGGCTTCGATCCAGGTCTTGTAGACAAAGTACAGAGTACCAGCGAAGGCACCAGACAGGAAGAGGTAGAGGAAGATGCTGCAGGAGATGTCAGCGGTTGTCATCAAACCATAATGGCGGTGCATTGGTTGTAGAACTCACATCTGAGGGTCAAAGATGCTGGTAGGGGGCTCGACAATGGCGGCGGTGGAGTTGTAAGCCTGGACCTGGAAGATATCGCCCTTGGAGTTGCTCACGACAGCAATAAGCTGGAGGAGAACATCCTGGGGGTTGGCGTCGAGAGCAAAGGAGTAGGGAACAGCCTTCTTGTCGCCAGCCTCGATGGTCAGGTCGTAGCGGGCAGCCGTCAGGTTGCGGATGATGCTGTCACTGGGAAGGGAGTCCTCGGGAAGCTCCTGAGTGGAAGACAGGGTGCCGCCAACCATGGCGACCTGAATCGGCGCATCCTCATTGTTGGTGAACTCGATCAAGGCCTTGGTGGGGTGGCCATTAACGATCTTCACACCAAAGATGTCAGCATCGGGGAAGGTGGTCTCGATGTCAGCCTTGAGGGTCGGGGGAACAGCGTCGGTGTCGACCTGGTGATGGTTAGCAATGAGCATCAGGGGTGCTAAGATGTCAAGAAACATTACGTACAGGGGCCGCCTCGGCAGCGAAGACGCCGGAGATGGGCAGGGCCAAAAGGGCCAGGAGCGAGGACCTGAGATAAACCATTGTAGTGACGACGAGGGACAAGCAGTTGGACGCGACGTGACCAGTTCAACGATCGCAAGCAAGGTTGACTGGAGTGGGGGAGAAGGGAAAGGAGGAGGGAGGTAAGGAGGAAGATGGGAAGTGGCAGATGGAAGATGGAGATGGAGACAGATGGAAGGGGGGCTGGGGCAAACCCAATTCAACTCAGATCGCGTGCGTCTTTGCGCTGAGGTGTCAGGTTGGATAGGTAAGGTGGGCGGGAAATAAAAGTGTGCGTGAGGTGGGTGATTCAGCAATGGGAAAGAGAGGCAGACTGGACAACCGTGGACTGGGAGGCGACAACAGCAAGGTGGCCTCACAGCAATCGATCCACCACCGCCTTGGAGAAAAAAGGGACCTCCCTCGCACCGCGGCCACGGCCTCGTCAATTGAGCTGTTGGCCAATGAAGGGCCTGACGCACTGCGGAGCTACCCCATGGTGCAAGTGCCACATGGAGAACCAGCCACCAGCTTCCAAGCGAGTGGGGCACCTCAAGCTTCCATAGCTGGCGCGCTGGGCAGCTTGACGACCCAATCATAGCTTCCCTCGGCCAGGGAAGGGAGCTGTACTTCAACGTCAATAAGGTACCTTGAGGTAAGTATGAAGGTAGATGCCGGTATGACTTCCAGGTTGAAGATAGCACGAGAGTGCCAAGGTGATACTCGCGCCCAGCCAAAATCTTGAAGTAGTGCCCTCCACACTAAATGACTTCATCAAAGCATTAAATCAACGGACCAAGAATACTGTCAAGATATTCATTGCCTCCTTACCGACCCGACTACCGTGACGCCGCCATCCATTGTGGCCATCTCAGCTGATCCTCTAGCTGAACTGTAACAGTACATAGAAAATGCAAATCCCACCCCCTTTGCCAAAGGATTATAAGTCATACACAAGTTATTGCCTCGTCCTAAACCATCCCTCAGGCAGTCATCATAGTTTGTGCCTGTTCATCTATGCCACACCTCCACGGATCGCGCTTGCTTTTGGTTTCGGTTCTGGTATGTTGCTCCTGGAAGCCACGCCCATCGTCTGCAAGGTTTGTTTGCCTTGCCCTCTAGAGGAACCTCCCTCCAACGCCAAAACAACCTGGCCGCGTAGTAAAGAAAAAACAAAATCGACTCGGGCCAACCGAAAAGTAGTGAAAGGCTGAGCAAGAAACCAGTCATTGGTATCGTCAAGTCGTCCAGTGTCGTCAACGGACCGCGCGGGCGGTCTAAAAAATTGTGTAAAAAGAGTTGCCGGCGGTTCATCAGTCGTTGCGTCTAAAGCCCGGACCTGTTGTCCAGCCGTAATCGCAATCGTGGTATTATGATAGCCGCCGCAGTTGCAACCAATATCGCGTCGGGTGTCGCTTAGGAGAAGAAAAAGGTCGTTGCATCGAGCCAAGTGCCCCGCGGGCGCACGGGGAAGTCCCTCACATGATGCGTCATCGGTGGTCGAGCACAATTGTCCCACTAGCTCTGGAGCTCGACCATCGGCTTGCCATGATGAGGTTGGCCAGCGTTGCCGTCGATCTCGGCAAAGTCATAAGCCGCCGCACGGCCTGTAGACTGGCGAACAGCGGGCAGGGTGAAGCCCTTGGCAATCTCCGTCTCAACGTACTCAGCAGCGCGCTTGTATCGCTTGTCAGAGTATTTCTCAAAGACCGCAAGGTGGTGCTTGCGTGGGGTGTAGCAGCACTCGAGGATCATGGTAACGAGGTTCTTGAGCTGGCCCCAGGTGTATCCAGAATAGTGGACATGCGCAGGAGTCTATTTTCATTGTTAGCGGCTTGGTATTATAAACCTGTTGGAGTAGACATACCCAGTCACCCTTCTTCAGGATCAAGCGAGACAGGCAGTGCGCGGCAGCAGCGAGGAAGCTGGGAGGGCTCGCAACGAAGCGCTCGTCCATGATGGTCACCTCCAGAAAGTACTTGGCCAATGTGCGCGTCTCCAGGTCGTAATCATCCGCCTTGCTAACGCGACGCAAGAAGCTCATCGGACCAGGGAAGCCGAGCTCGAAGCTCAACATGCTAAGCATGAAACGCTCAGCCTTGAGGATCTCGTCAACCTTGTAGCCGTTATCTACCATGAAGACGATCTCCTGCAGCGACGGGCAGTTGATCTCCTCGTACTTGGAGGCAACGAGCAATGCAGTTGCACCAACGAGCTGAAGCTTGCCGATCGATACAACCTTATACGAGAGGAAGCGATCGATGTAGTTGACGGTCAAGAAAAGCGTCTCCGGAAGCAGGCTGAATCGGTGGTGAACTTGAACGAGCCAGTCCATCAAGACGGAGCGCATGGACCATTGAATCTCGGCCTGGTTGTCCATGTAGTGAGGGTCAGGCAACATTCTCATCTAGAAGTATGATGATTAGTAGATGCCTGTCTGAAGGCTATGCGGGGCATACAAACCTCAAGCTCCCTCATGTACTCAAAGATGTCATCTCCATACTCTGCAACCATGCAGACATCCCAGATCTCGTCGTCAACCTCCTCCTGGGTACGGGTACTTTCGACGATGGCACGGGCAGTCTCCAACTCTTGCTCGACCTTGTCGGTAATCTTAGGAGCGAGTATAGTGGTTGCGCCGCCCGTAGTAAGGTCGCCGCGGGAACGGTATGAGTGGGCAGTCGTGTAGCCCTGGTCGTCGTAGAGCTCTTCTTCGTCATCCTCGTCCCAATACTCCTCCGCCTCCGACATGTTTGGAACACCCAGTGATTCGGAAAGAGGCTCCAGGGAGCTAAGCTTGTCAACGGCAGCATTCGATGATACAATATCCTCAGGTAGTTCGCTATCCGGAACGTCCAGCGAGCGTCTGTGGTAGGGGCCGTGGTACTGTTCTTCGCCAATGTGCTCGACGGCATCCTCGTAGGTAGCCTCCGTCACATCATCCATAGACTTCCAGGCTGCCGCAGCAGGAGCAGCGTGTGCAGGGGCTGTGGTCAGCTTGCTTTGTGTCCGTCGCAAAACATGCGCAGCAGGCTCCTTCTTAAGCTGAGGCTGAGACTTGTGGTGACGAGGCTGTTTGCCAGAGGTTGACTCTGAAATGGGGTCCTGGGCCACGAATTTGCTCTTGGAGGGACGAGCCTCGTAAAGCTGAGCAGCGGAGGATCTCTTGGCAATCTGCTTGTTCTGAGTCTTGGGCTGCTTCCACTCCGCAGTCACGGGTCCGTTCTTGCTGCTGAGGGCTGTGGCCCGCTGAGCGGCCTTGAAGAATCCATCTTTGCCATTGACCGCGTTCTCCTTGTTGTAGATGTGATCCACAGCCTTGCCCTTACCCGCAGTCTGGTCGCTGGGAAGCGAGATCAGGTTCTTCACGGTGTTGCTGACGTCGCCGAATGCGGTTCGCTTAGCAGCAACCTGCAGAGCGCCGTTGCGAGGCATGGCTTGCAGGTTACCGGTAGACTTGTGTCGCTGGTGAAGAGAATCGTGTTTCGAAGGGATGATGTTTTCGTTGCCACCTGGGTGGACTCTGAGGCGCTGAGGCTGTTTGAGTCAAGTTAGTCGATAGTTTGAGAAAGTCGCCCTTGCTTGGTCCTTGGGGCGAGGTACGCGGGCGTGGTGGTTACGAGGGAGGATAGTGACTTACTCTAGCGTCCATCGCGACTGCTGGTCTTGTAGATAGCTACCTTAGTGCTGCTGGTTGAATCTGCTCGGGAGGGCACCTTTGTGGGGCAGTGAAGAATTATGAAGGCGCGCAGTGGATGTTGATGTGATTATCGTGGGACTGAGAATAATTGCGCGTGGGATAGCATGTAAACACCGCAGTGACTCGGTTGGCCGTGTTGTGGAAAGTCGTGGTCCCCAATTGCTGCCGATCAGATACGGGCACGGTTGGTCAGAGTGAAGGGATGGGCGAGGGACGGGAGATTGCGACGGGTAGGGATATAAAAGAAGGGAAGGTCGGTTTATCTCTGCGGGATGGTAGAGGATAAGAACCAGACCCGGGCTGCCTCGACAACGACCAAAGTGGAGGAAGGATGGGGACGGGGATGTAGAGTTTGGAAGCAACTCTTGATGGGAAGAAAAAAAGGTCTCAGCCAAAAAGCTGCACGATGGGTAACTGCCACGGCGGGCGGCTTATGACCAAAAACGGCCTGGCAAGGTTGGAGCGGCCAGAATGTGCAGTGGACTTTTTTGGGTTGTTTACTTCCGTGTTTGTCAATACAGCTGAGAAATCCGAGGTACGCACCGGAGACGCGGTACCAACGCGCCACCTCATTGGCTGAGAGCGATGGAGCCCTATCGTTGGCCGGTCGATGGGTGGGTCTCGGCATCATCGCCGCGGGGCCAATTGAGCTCACTTCGTACGTTCGTATGCATTTACCTTACCTTACTCCGTATGCTTCCTTCCAATGGGCTCTGTCTCCGATACCATGTTTTGGACAGCCCATGTCTCTACGCAACAATGCGCATGAGCAAATCCGGGGACCTATGCTCGAGCAATGCGTTGCGAAAGCAAGGCACGAGTCTTCTGTCATCGTTTCACCTAGACCACACAATTCACTACCACACCGTCCTAGACAACCATCGTTGTTGTTTTCCAACTTCTGTATTGTTTGCGCCAAATACTACCTGACTATCTTCCCAGACCAATCTTCTACAGCGAGACGCCGTTCGTCACCCGTTTCGATAATCTCTCCCCTTTTCCAAGCTCGACACTCCCTTTACCAACGGCTTCTTACGAAAATCCTTTGTCCATTGTGCTACTGAAACCCGCAACGTCTACCATTAGCTTGGCTCCCGCTCGAGAACACAAAGGCAGCCGACCCACGTTGGCCTCTAGAACGTTGGGCGACTCGTGGAAGGAACGCCATAGCGGCCCAGAACAAAAAGGCATACGAAACGCATCGCTTCGAGGCTCGAAGTCGTTAAACGGTTCCTGACCAGCCAAGCCTCGCCTGCCGTTGTCCTCTCCTCCGGTCTTTCAGCTCTGCAATCCAGCCTATCCAGAAGAAGCCACGCCCGAAACCGAAACCCATCGTACTACGAGCTGTGATATCAGCACTTGCCACGGCACCTGTTGTGGCGAACGTGGTCCTTGGAGTTTGAGTGCGTTATATTGAACTGTAGCCATGGTCTTTGTTCTGTCGGGTGTTCCTGAATACGTTGCCTCTGGTCTCTTTCTCTACTAATCAATCTGGCTTAGTTTCGCCATGTGCTGGAGTTCCACGCTCGCAATTACTGCCTCACTCACACAAGACCTTTCTGACCTTCGTTGTGTTCTTTTCCTCGGCACTCTCGACGCAATACCAGGTCCTGGGTACAACCTCTCAAAGCTCCCTGCAATCCCAAGTGATACTATGAAGCTGTAGTTGCGACCGAGCTTTAGTTACCTATATCTAGAAGCAATTATTCACCCAGATATTCTCTCGAGAGCCTAGACAAATTTGGCTCTCATATATTCAACGTCATGGTGAAATAGAGTATTCTTCGGCGGAGGAAAACATATGCTTGACAGACTGATACTACTTCGGATCATTACGATCAAAATTAGGTGGTTGTTGAGTTTAACTTAGCGACTCCTACGAGATTCCACAGTGGGATACATATTCTTACTATCTTCTGTAATTCGAACAATAAAGAGCTCCAGCTAGGGAACATTCGTATTATACGCAGGCACGAGCTTGGCCTCTACCGCCTGCTTTGCCCTTCCTCCAACTGCCAATGATTCAAGTGTCTTTGCGATGTACTTCATACTCGAGTGCGCACAATTGCATCGAAGCGAACCGAGCTGTTCTGGATTGCCGTATCTTCATTATTCCTTGGAGAAGACTTTGAGGACTCAATTGAGGGGACTGGAGCATGGTACGTCTCATTCCATCATGTCTTGTTATGATGTAACAAATTTCCAAGGACCAACAATTAATGGCAGAGAAAAAGCACCACGGAAGCGTTTGCAAATAGAGGCTAATTGATAAGAACAGACAGTCGGAACAAAGACATAGGCTGGGCGAATCAAGTATAGTGCTATTAGAGACATACCAGCTCCCCTTATTTGGCCAGGTATCCCAACCAGCAGGCACACTTTTGTGCAAAGCCGTCTGGCAAGGCATGCCGGTGTAACTAGGGAAGAATATGGTGAATCATCTCGAAGGATATATCATGTGATTTAATTGATCTTGCCTCAATTTTCTCAAGACTGCTGGAGTTATTAATAACGTTCATATAAGGGCAGGATTGCCATGTTCGTCGTCGAGACCATTTGTTTTCGGGGCCATACACGTGCTCTGTGCATGGGCCAGCAAAGTTGTCTTTTGATATCAGCATCTCAGCCTCAGGCTAGCACGCTTTTCTCGAATGGTACCTGCTGTTGATACTTGGAAGGGATAGGGTATCGGCAGCATCGAAAGCCGCGAATCGGGCTCGTGAATTGGAAATTGCGACTGGTGATCATGCTCGTTTTGTTTCCACCATACCAACTATGCGACGGTTCGCCAATATTTCGCTTGCAGAAGCTAGCTACTCACGTTTATCTCGCATGGCTTTACTCCCATCTGAATAGTTCTACACAATCATTAAAGCGCACAAAAATTCGAGGGCACCAGTAGCAGACAGATACAGCACCGAATGGAAAAGGAAGCTTAAATTCTGTGTGAAACGGAAATCCGGAAACCGATGGAAAGACCAGACGGCAGGAATGACGGGAAAACCTCGGTATCCCCATCCCCTGTCGTCATGCTTTCGCAATTGTGGAAAGGGCAACGCTAGTCCAAAAGGGGGAAATGATTTTGATCCTCCTCTTACCGTCGCGTCTTCCGAATGCCGTTCAAAGGAACACATCGCTCAACATCATCAGCAAAAAATCATACAAACTCACAAAAAGCCACCATACCATATAAGGGATGATATTCAAATCAAATTTGAGGTCAAAAGTCTTGATATGGACCGGAGGTTGACAGTTTCACCCCGCAGACCACGATCCGCTGACCGCGCCCTCACATGACACCAATTAACCACGAAGTCACGTGATGAAATCGTCACACGTTCCCGCTCTGTAGCGGAGCTCGCCTCCAAAGGCGCCGCATCATCAGCGTTGCGACTCACGCAAGTATCGATGTAAAACCTTCTCTTGAGGCACCCCGGCGCCTTTGCACCACGAACTTGCGCAAGGCCCCTCCCACAACGCAAGTTGTTCGACCTGGCGCAACTGGCGACAAATGCGACGGAATTGGACGTACGCGCCTGGCCCGACACCTTGCGACCGGCATGAGCAGATCCATCCTGCAGAGCTGTCGTTTCTGGCCAGTCGCATTGGCGCAACGCGATGCGCCTGAAGCATCTCCTTTGTTTGTTTTGATCAAGAACAGAATTGCGACTCGTCGGACGTCGGGCCATGTCTCTTGTCAGCCTCTCCAGCTGCATGATGGAAAACGAGGGGAACCATCAGGGACCGGCTGGGATGTGCGCAGACAATTAATATTTCTGCATGATGAGCACAACTTCTCCTTCCCACCCCTCATCGATGACCCGCCACGCAAGCTGCGCTAGACGGGACGACCTCCTTTCCAGGCACAAGGTCGAAGGCTCGAGGCCCGGGGCTGCAACTGGACGGAGGGCGCCGCAATTGCATCTGATTGGAGTCGGCGCATTTCTCTTTCGCACGCGCACTCTTTGCTCATGCTAGGCTCTACAGTCGCACAGCACCACCTTCCATCACCTTGCGACGGAGTGTCTTGGAATGGGCCGCACAGCTCAGCTTGACTGACGGATATCATGACCATTCCGTCGCGACTCGCCATTGATTTTCGAGCATCGGCGGATATTGCGTAACAGTTTGAGAGGGAACTACTAGCTCAATACGAAAGCTCCCAGGGCTTAGCACATATGCGACGGCTCCGAACATGCCCCCTGCAACCTGTCGCAGACTTCAAGCACAAAAACTGGATACCCACCGGCAGTGCAAAGCCAGAATGAGCGCACGGTACGCCAGCTGTCCTGGAAGACCCTTTGCCCGTCGCATTGCCTCTTCTCATTGTCTTTCAAACTGTCGCGCTCAGCAGAGCAGTATCGACCAACAGCTTCTCAGGCTTGACGGGAGAGAAATATTAAAAGAGTACGAGGGGGAGCGAGTGTGTGCGTTTGTCTACCTTGACGGTATTCGAAGGCGCGCGCGTGTGCGCAATCGCACACACACAGTCGCAATCCATTCCGACTAGCTCACCCCATCCGATGCTCCACGACTCACGAGACCTTATGGCCTCAGAGACTCCCCATGGAAGAACGGTGAAAGAGGGGCAGACGTGGCGTGGCAAAAGCTACCCAGCCATGCGAAAAGAATAGTAGGTCGAGTGTGACGCACCAGGGTCGCAGAATTTGACTGATGCCGCCGCCGCTCTATCGTTTCTCTCCGCCAAATGCGTTGAAGCCACCATGCGCGGGAAAGCGCCGATCCTCCCGGTAGAATCCAGCGACACACACACTCCCACACAGCTCCATTTCTAGCTCGGTGGTACCCGTTTGTATCCCAAACCAGCAACCGGCAGCAGAGCCCGCGATTGACAAGATGGATTCAAGCGACCAATCGAAGACGAGTCGCAGATATCGTTAGGTTGGGCTGGTCTGTGTTGTTTCTCTGAGTTTTGCGCTGGTGGCGGTTGTGGATGAACATGGCATCGCATCGCATCGCATGGCATCGCATCGTACCGGGATAGGGTCCACGAGCTAATCGGGTCGAATGGGCGCAACGACTGGGCCGACACGCAGACCACGACTGCTCCTGAATCCTGAGAAATATGTCGATTCGCTGCCGGAATCTTCTTCGCCTCCTCAAACTCCATCAAGAGGGCAAAAACAGGGTCCAACAAAAAGGCATCGACTGTTCCATTCCCACAAGCCGACCAGTCCAAAGTTCAAACCTCGACGTGGCAGTGGAGCCCCAACCTGCGAGGTAACGCAAAACAAAGAGCAACAAGCTGCGTTCGGGAAGGATAGCTCATCCCTGCGAGGGGATCTGGAGCCTGGGCGCAAAAGTCTCGCCAGGTATCGCACACCGTTCTTTTGAGTGCGGCCGGCTCCTGAACTCCCCCGATTGGCGAAAAGGGACTTGTTGGGGCCTGCAAAACCCAGTGCCAGTTCATCAATACTTCTCCGCACTGCGCTCACTGGCAGGGCCGCAAAGGAAGAGACACACACTATACACTCAAGAGGCAGGCGAAAGAAGATACGTGGATGCGTCGAGCGATCCACACATGTCGTCGTCCCTCCATGCCATCCCATTCTGTCGCAAAGCGCGAGAGAGAGAGAGAGAGAGAGAGGAGGGGGAGGAGAGGTGCCAGTGACTGTTGTCGGTGTCACCTTTCTATCTACCTGAAGTGGGGATTTCTCAAGGCCAAGCCGTCGAGCCTTTGGAGCAAACGCAGCAGGCGAGCGGAGGGGAACTCGGTATGACGGCCAAGACCTTGCCCATTTCCTCGGCCTAGTTCTTTTATGTTGTCTATTCGTACCTCCATGGTGATTCGGCAGCGACATGACACTTGAAACCCCCGACCAGCGCATACAACCGTAACATGACGGCCTGAACCAATCTTGCTTCACGCTACAAACCGTCCCCCCAGCCACCTCATCTATCAAGCTCGCGGATCGAGCATCTAATCATGTCTGGTTCCTGGCCCTACTAACAGAGCCAAAGATAGGTATGCGCAGGTGCGAAAATCCTCGTGCGAAGGCGCACTGGGGTCATGCTGTGCAGAGAGAGCAGAAAGGTCCGGACAGCAAGTGGCCTCGATACCGTGTACTATCGGATGTCTGCCCCTCGCCATTGAATAGACATAGACTTTGGCCGTCTATCTGGGACAGACCTATATGTTGTTGCTTTCTCGGCCCCATGCTGCTGGACGGGGACCCATCCGAACAACACCATGAAACGAGCTGGACGGGGGGTTTATCGATGAACCAAACAGTGCAGCAGCAGGACTCTCCTCTTCCTCCTCCTCCACATAATCAAAACATGCGCCGGGCGAACCTTCTGTAATTCAATCAGCGTGTTGACAGTTGAAACCAGTGCAGACCGAGCAGACCGGCGCTGGAGTCTCTACCTGTGCCATGCTGGTAGCCGCCTTAGCCAACATTCCGCCTCGCCTCGTGCATGAGCCAGCCGCGCTACGACCATCCTTCTCTGGCCGCTATCTTGTCTTGTCCCTCTTGGTCCCCTGATGTGCGAGACTCGTGGCGCCTCGAGCTGGTCCGAACGACAATGCCATTGGCTCAATGACAAGGTGGCTCGCAAACCCCGTTCCCTTGCTGAGATCCTGCAGTTTTGTCTACTGTACATCTGACAATGGATAGTTCATATGCTGCTGACTAAGAAAGTCCTGCGGGATGGCAATCGGATCTGGAAATTCACGGTCATCGATATCAAAAGGGATAACCGACCCCCGGGACGATCGCAGGACGGAGCAAGTCTCGTAGACGGCTCCGTGAGAGACGAAGGGGCCCCGGGGTTTGAGTGGCCGTATTTTTCATTTCACCTAATAAGACTACATTCTCCGCCAAACAAGCTGCCGCCGCTGGTTAGTCGCGGATATCATGGCGCTAGGTGGCATCCGCCTAAGACGGGTTCGTGGTCTTTGCGCCGTAGAGCAGGTACCGTGCTTTGGGCTGGCTCCTCTCTCTTTCTCTCTCTCTCTCTCTGCCCGTCTCTTTGGAAATGGGAAGACATTAGGCGGTTTTTTTCTCAGCTGAGGTATCCCGTACCACGGTGGGAGAACGATCTCAATGGTTGGGGACGGATGGATTGGCGCCAAAACACTGGCACACACACACACACACAAACACACCATCCGGGATCCATACCGGAACTTGCAGCTTCTTTGGCGCCTTTTTTTGTTGGAGCATGGCATCACGTGGTGGTGTACCATCCAGGTAGGCAGTAGGTCAGCAATGAAAGACCCAAGATCAACAGAAGGGCCGGGGTTCATGGGTCCAGGTATCTTTGAGGCGGTTTAACTTGGAAACGGGCGAGTTGAAAGCTGGACCCCCCCGCGACAATGGGCCATCGCGGTCCTCAATTGTGTGACGGAGAGCATTTGTCGCAAAGCGCATTGCAAGAGGCAGTCGAAGAAGGGAGAAATGCCGATAGCTGGCCCAGACCGTACCATACCGAGGACAGCAGCTTTCCTTTGCGCCAAGATTGGCCATGCGATTCCGAGTAGCACATCGAGTCCCTCCGTCTGATGCGATAAACCCTGGCCTGGGACTGGTTTTGGTTGCGGGTAGGGTGGGATGGCGCTTTTTTCCTGTTGCGAAGCGCCGAATTGTCCCATTGAGCCGACGAATTTGATATGAGGGGAGAGAGATAGTGATACGCTACGATACGGCACGGGAAGAGAGAGAGAAAAGATACGTATCTGATTCTGCAGGGCACTATAACTTTTCATATTTGGTGAGATGCCCGGGAAGGACTCTGCGGAAGACGAGTCGTGAAATCGGGGTCCGATGTCGCGCGCATCCCACGTTGAAGTAGTTCGTACGGACAATGGCGGGCGCATTGCGTCCCGATATCAGTTATGAATAAGTCTTCATGTTCGCTGACGAATTTGCGCACAGCCCCGAAGGTCCGGAGGATGCAATTACAGATTTGCGCAACCAAGGTCCAACAAGTCACAGCAATACTCGAAAGGAGGCTGGTCGCAAAGTCGTATATTAGAGAGGGATGGGGCCTGAAAGGCCCGCGAGGTGTGTGAGTGAGTGTGTATGCGTGTATGTGTGTGTGTGTGTGCCAGGATTGACGAGGTTTCGATGGCTCAGGCTTCCCAAGACCGGACAGGGATGGCTGGGCGAATTGGAAGAGACATAGTTGGGTGAGGTGAAGGTGACGGGATCGGCACCGTATGAAATAGACGCTGAAGGTGCCAAAAAGGACCTTGGAAAAGGTAAGGTTTTTGTGTCTTGTTTGCTCGCGGGGAACGGACCGGTTTGAGCCAGTTTGACCGGCCCATCAGTTTCTCTCTGGCATTTCGAGAGAGTGACTCGGGTGTGCGTGTGTGTGCGAGTGAGTGTGAGTGTACACACCTTATCTGAACAAGTTCGGGTCGCCTTGGGGTGAGCCGACACGAGGCGTGAGGGTCAAGTTGCTATTGGTGAATGGATGAGAGTATGTCCATGTAATGAGGTGTGGTAAGGTGAGGTCAGATTCAGTACGAGGCACACAACTCGCGACGTATGTTCCTTGCACAAGGAGGAGCGCTGGCTCGTCATCGGTACGGAACGAATGCATATTCATGTGTGAGAGTGAGTGTATGTCTCTCCATGTGTGGCTTTTGAGAGTAAAGTACGGGGCGATATGTCATGCTCCCTTTCCACCGTTTCGTATGAATATAGATATACTCCGTACAAGGCGGAGAAGAATTGTTTGTTCATATTTATATGTAAATCTCGCCGTCTGGCCCTTTTATGTGACCTGCGCCTTGCTGTCTCTGGTCCCTCACATAAAAAAGTATCGGTAAATTGAAGTGAGTCGAAATGAATCGGGGGAAGGACGCACAAAACGAGATGGAGCACGTTAGTCCCTTGAATCCATACTCCGTACCCCGTTACCCCCTGTCCCAAAGAACAGGATTCAAAAGTATGCCCTGCCAGAGATTGAGGCTTCTAGAAGGACTGTTTGAGAGAGAAAGCAGGACTGGTGAAGGGAGGCCCAGGTAATTACGGCTAGGCGAAGAGGCCATCATATCCGCAAATAGCCACTTGACGAGATTTGATGGATCAGACCAGCCGGCCCAGCAGATCTTGACTTTGACCGCCTTACCACACACACTTCGTACTCACACAGTCACACGCACCCTTTCTCTCACTCGCTCTCTCATCTCTCCTTCTCACTTTATCGGTTGATCGCAGGCCAGGTATCCGTAGATCGATTACCGGTAGGCTCAAGTTAAAGACAGAAGAGCCAGATGGCGAGAAAAATGCCACCAAGCCCCCCCCCCCCCCCGGTGTACGGCCTGCTAGGCCCTTGTCCGGATCCGCTTCCGCTCACGAAGAAGGAGAAGCCTTTCCATACGGATACAGTGTCGCTCCTTCGTTGTGCGCGCAGCGGCGGCGGCGGCGGCGGCGGCGTGTGGCTCCCAAGTTGCGCAAGCATGAGCGACTTGGGCCTCGGTGCGTCGCCGTCGTCCCTGGCCGCATAGCACCGCCTAGAAACCCGACGAAGGACTCCAAGATGTTCGCATATATGGTAGTCATCATATCGACCTCGAAAAACATAGGCCCAAGGGTCTCGTCGAGACGCAGAGCAAATGCGCCTGCGACGTGGAGGTACCCTTTTCACTCGTCATGCTCAGGTTCGGAGTGTGTGAGGTGACCTAGGAGAATAGTTAGCCAGACGGGATGAGCGGGTCCGGCAGGTAGGCAGGTGCCACTGCCCTCCACCCTGCCTAAGCCTGAAGGTGCGGTGAGGTCCCACGAGTGCGGCAAGGCCTTGTTCTGGGGCGAACTAGCCACCTGCCTGGCGATTGCCCGGAAAGGGGGAGGGGGCAGTATGCGTTGGGGGATGATCCAGTGCTGTAGGGACCTGGCCATAAGCCACAGTGGAACATGGCCCCTGTGAGGTCCCTCAACTTGGGGTGATACGTGCCTAAGCTACAGCACCAAGTGCCCTGAAGCAAAGGCAATTGGGCATGACCCGCCAAGCATGAGGAATCGAAGCTGGCACAGTTCATCGCGCACTGTCACCCAAGGGAAGTTACTGCCGGCACTTGAGGGGGCCCCGGTCACCACGACAGTGGGCTGCTCCTGCAACTATAGGGCCTTTTCCTCATTTCATATGCGCTGTACTGCGTGTTGGTTAGCGGAGGTAGACTGTCGTACTGGAGGCCCAGGGGGTCCAGGTACCTAGCCACTCCATCCCCGCCAGGAGCAGAGACAAACCTAACCAGAAGGTCAGGTACTTGACTGACGGTGCGGCGATGTGGACGGTACCTGACCTGACGGGACCAGACCTGGAAATTGGGAAACTGGAAACCGGACTGGACTGGACTGGACCTGGGACCTGGACTTGAACTGAGGTGACTGACGGACCGCAGACACAAAATCGTAACCTCTCAACTTGGCTCCTCTTTTTCCCTCTCATGCACATTGCACACAAACCTGCGAATTGCCCGGCAGAAACAATCATCCAACAACACTGTCATCCTTCCAAAGTGAGTCTGAACCGATCCTATGGTCTTTGCGATCGATGTCTTCTATCCCTTTGCACCATTCTGCTCCAAGATCCCGAGTCCCGACTCTCCTGTGCTTCCGCCGGGCTCAATGTCGAGAGAGGTTTGATGTCTGGACTGGGGTCTGGCTCGCTCTCTCTCTCTCTCTCTCTCTCTGGCTGTGCTTCTTCGCTACTACGTCTTGCCGTGCGCTCCCCGACCCAGTCCCAGCTCAACCTCTCCTCTTTCTCTCCTACCACTCCTCTTCCTACCTTAACCATACTTCTGCTTCTCCTCCTCTCTTCACTCCCGATACACTCTATCACACCGTCAATTTCGTCCATTCGGTCCTCATCCTCCATCCCATGGCTAATCTTTTGCAGTCCATGCCCTAGACTCCAAATCACCCCGTACTCCTTTCCTCAACCATCGTCCTCTCCGACCGTTCGCTCCGGCAGCGTCCTTGGTCAGATCGCCCCGTCTGGCGCTGACCGCACGACGACACAGGACCCTCGATATAACGTCCATGTTTGATAATTCGGTGGATTGATACCTCATTCCGTTCCTCATCCGACCCAAGTTTCGGCTTGCTCGTCGTTGATACCCTTCGTCCCGCCCATCGACCGCCGACTCAGGCTCAGGGTCCCAACCTTTCCGTGCCAACTCTACGGAAACCCGCTCATCGCACACCACCCCATTTCCCATCAAACTTTTCTCGCTCGACATTCCTCCATTCAAACCCATCGAATCAATACCATACATCACAATGACGAGCATGTCTCCCACAAGCGTCGTCAACGGCGGTTCCGCGGCCACCTCAAACCAGGGTAGCGTCTCGCCCCGGCAGACGGTGTCGCCCAAGAACGTCGCATTTGAACTCCTCTTCACCGAGTCACCGCAATACAGGGCGCGACTCCCCATGCGAGTCCAAATATATCCTCATGACACTACCGACTCCATTGTTACCACCGTCAAGAATTTTTACGGTCTGTACGGTGGCCCGACCGGCTCAAAGGGCGTCAGTTTCGAGGACGAAAATGGTATAACCCTCATCGCCCGATACGAGAACTTCCGCAACAACATGGTTGTCTACGTCAGAGTCATTGAGGAGTCCCCCTCTGCTTCTAGCCCCTTTGTGCCGCCCACATATCATAACCCTCCCCCCAGCGCTCAGCAATATTTCGAGGGCAACGGTTATCCGCTGCAGCCTCCACCGCGCTTCGGCCAAGAAATCTCTAGGCCTTCATCGAGCACCTCTCGGAAGCGCAGCCCATCCCCCAATGCCGGACGCGGCCGGCGTTCCGGATCTGCCCGTACGAATTCCAAGAAGGGTCGATCCCGCTCTTCCAAGAATCGGGACACTGCCGCCTCCAATGGCCACGCTGATATCTACAGTGATAGCGTCAACGGATACAGCAGCGGTGACGGCGCTCCTGGGTCCAGCTCTAGCAGAATGAAGGAGCAGATTGGCAACACCGAAATCAGCCTCGAAAACATTGTTGAGGGAGGTCGTCGCAAGCGGGCCAAGTTTGAAAGCTCGGTAAGTTTGCCTGACCGCACGGGTCTTGGACAATATCCTTTTCTTCTCTATTCTTGTTAGTCTGGGCCTTTGTACTCATCCTGTTCCATTCAGGAACTCCCCTTATTTGCGCCTCCTCAGATGCCAGCGGCTACGTCGAATCCGTCCGTATCTCCTGCCCGCCGCGCCGAGCCTCAGCGAGCCTCTCTGCCATTTGTCCACCCGGGCCAGAACCCTTTCACGAACCCGATGCCTCTGCATTCCCCGCAGAGCCACAATCATGGATATGCGCAAGGTGGATTTTATGCGACGCCGTCGTCTGAACGCCACGGTCGCGGTAGCATCGGATACGCTGGGCAAACCGGCAACTACAGCGGCATGAGCGGCATTCTGCCCACTCCAGACCCCACCGTTGGCAGCTGCATGTCAGAAGAGGATAAGGATGTTGCCATCCAGCTTATGCGCCTGGGTGAAATGTCAAACATTTCTCATGGCCGCACCTCTGCGTCCACGCTGGATGACACCTTCAGCGGCCGTGCCGACGCCGCCTCTTCCACTGGAGCCACTAGCGATGGCGAAAGTGAGAGCGACGAGGAGTCAGCCGCCCGGCGCCAAAAGCTGGATGCTGCTGGTGTCATGCGCAAGATCTACCAGACTACAGAGAGCCACTTCATTCCCCAGCCCAGCATCGAAACTCCTGTTGAAGACGTCCGTGTCGAGAAAC